TCTAAAAGGGTAGACGATTTTTTAGCGGTATACGGTTAAACCTTGTTTTCAACACGAAATATCATATCGCTAATTTTTACGTTATGGTTTTACAATTCTGACTGAAAACAACTTTTTAGTTTGATTGTCCGCTTACTTTTACTTGGTTAAACAGAGTTTGGAAATCTGGTGGAACTTAAACCGCAACCTTCCATTGAAACATTGGTTATTACATTTCTTGAATGAGAACTTCTATTAATCTATAAAACATTGGTGCTTTAATGTGAACTTGAAGTTGTACCATAACGTTAAATGTATAAATTCAGGTTGTACTATAAAAGAATTTGTACCCTTATGTTATGGTACAACTTGAAATTGTACCATCAAATAAAATTATAAGTTCGAGTTGTACAATAAAAATTTATATATAAGAGTATAGGTACAATCTAAAATTGTACCATAAATACAAAAATCTATTGTAAAATTTCTCTTATTAAATAGTGCAATTGGAAAGACTCATGAGAATGCGACCTTGCAGAATTGCATTCCCTGAATATCCTTGACACTGCTTTGGGCACATCACTTTCTCTTCAGCAAATGTCCCAGCTGAGACCAGGAAAGTTGTACTAATAATTATTTGCCAAAACAAATATCAGTGGGAATCGCATAGGGTTCCATTCAAATCAGTTACTGTTCTGTTTTCGCCCTATGAGTCATGAGACGCTGTTTCTAATAAAGAAAACACAAAGAATGATGCAACTTTGCAGTCTACAAAAGGATCGAAGAAAAAACATCTTCTTTAAAAAGGTTAAAAATAATTAAGCAGCCAACTACTCCCAATACCCACAATTATTTATAACTATTTAACATTGAATCCTTACCGTGGATATGCATAATTGAAGATAATGTATGTACTATTCATATCCGAGTGACGTTTTGTCCAAGAGAAAGGCAAAGCAAATCATGTGAAAATGGGAGACAGCTAAGTTCCAAAGGTTTTTTTCCTGGAAAATTTTTCAGGCCTTGTGAATATGTGATTCTGATTCTCTTGGGAAGCTGTTCATCTCTCTTGTTTTTTCTCCTTTTGTTGTCTTGTTTTTTTTTTTTTTTTCCTTCCCTTTTTCACTTGTTCATGGAAGAGACCGGTGATGGGGTTCATTAAACTAGTGAAAGAGACATGATACGATGCACGCACCCAGTCTCCTGTCCAGTGTGTTTTTTGTGTGTGTTTCCCTGTCAAAAAATTGGGTGTTGGAATCAAACATCACTTCTGGCAATGGCTTCACAATGTCATGTATTATCGTATGCTGTCGAAGAGAAATCCGCAGAATGAGCAAAAGAATCAATCTGATTATTTTGAGATGAAAGCAGCGCCAACGGGGAATGGATCTCAATTCATAAATGTTTGATAGTATATATATGATTATACTATGTATATGTATGAAAGTCTATCGTATGAATATGTTATAGTGTAGAATGGTTATATATATGATAATCTTTTTATCACCATTCAACACTAGTTACCATCCTATACCAAAGTTGTATATTTGCTCCAGAACTTATTTTTTTCAAAATTTTGTAGATCCAATAGATCACGATAAACTCGTTTCATTTGAGCTAATTTTAGTAAAATTTGAGTGTAAAATAATGGTGGTACCACGATAGTAACGAGCGGTATGGGTAGTACGAAATTATTTTCTTTAAAATATATTTAAAATAGATATCATTCTGTAGATCACAAAGAATTCGTTCAATCTATGGAAAAAAAATTGAAATTCAATTTAAAACAAAGAAGATAAAGCCATGAGAAATCAAAGGAGCTTTACCTCACCCATTAGATTTAGCTCATTTGAAAATTAAATGGCCATATTTGATTATTTATAAGTGTATAATAAGGAGTTATTGACCCTGTCCGATACCCTAAAAGTAGTGATGTCAATTGTTGACCTGACTCATGCAACTCAATTTGTCGCGACCTGTTTAGGGCAGGTATTACTTGACTCGTAATAGCGCGACGGAGCATAGGAATTGCTTTCGTACTGCCCTGCCCTATCTCGTCTCGTTCTTGACATGTTATATAATGATTCACATTTATATCTACATGTATTTTTCATGTTTTGATTTTCTCAAATCATGTTTTCATCCCAAAGAAATTTTTATGCTCTATCTTTCACTATTTAGACTTAATTATTCCCTCTACTATATTTCTCATTCATTTATTCAGTGATGTCTCCATGTGTGCTCGTAAAAAGTTAACTTCGTTCTTTTATCAATGCAATGTAGTTGGGCTCTCATGTCGATCCGAATGAATCATCCTTTCCACAGAGGTAAATCTTCAAATGAAATAGGATGAACGCGGACCACAATGTACTTCTGTTACGATATTTCTAGCCATACATTGGGGTACCTACTCTAATTGTCTTAGGACAAGCATAACATACACATGCATGCAGGTAAAATAGTTCATTCGGATAGCGGTAACCCTGCAAAGAGCTCTATTTCGACAAGAACATGTGATATAGCATTTTCAATAGCTACATCTTGATAAGAGCATAAAGGAAAGAAGAGCTAAGCCGTCAATCCTATCCCCCAATCACTACTTAAGACTTAAGAGGGAGTCTGGATCCCACATATGCATAACCTTCCAATTTAACACCCCAATTGCAATCACTATTCACTACCTAAGTGGGAGTGATCCCACATATACCACAACCTTCCAATTTAACTGCAAAGTAAATAAATTAATAAAGTAAATAGACTAAAGGGAGCAAAGAAAGGGGGAAAAAAAGAAATGGAAAAAGGTGATCCTTCCATATTTAAAGTTTAATCCCACTAAGTTGGACTTCCATTCTCAACTCTGCAAAATTTTCAAATATGACTCATTGTCTCATTTACTTACCATGATTTTGTTAACTATTGCGCTAATTTTGACGAAGAATGACTATGAAATTGTTTTGGTTCTACAATTTTTGCTGACATATTCAAATGCAACATCCGCATCAGCGCTCACATCAGTATAATTTGTCACGTCAAAATCAGTTCACGTTTGACTAGTTGAAAAACTAACAGATTGGTTATTATATTATTTTCGAAAAATTGGACTATTATTTTGTTTAAAATCAATTTTTTTTTACTATTATAGTGTTTTAAATCCTTAATATCAATTAGGTTAGACACATTTGTAGTCTATAGAATAAACAGTTACGCCTTAGGTATATTAGTGTCTGGTCTATAAAAGCAAATAATCTCTCCCTGTCTCCCACCAAGCTCGATTCCACACTCATACCCTCTGTTCCTCCATTATAGATAGCAGAAGGTCCTAACTTCATTGGACCATTGTGTTTCTGAGGGGGAAAAAAAACAAACAAAAAGGGTGATAGCAACCACTGCATCCATTCCATCCGAGCCAAAGAATTGTTCAAGCAGAATTCGTGCTGTCGGTCACATGCTGACAAGCACAGGGATTTTGATTAGTGTAAAACAGGGGAATGCACTGAAAAGTGGTGGGGGGAGGGAAGCAAAAGTAGGGATAAATCCTGCAAGGGCAATGAAAATGAAAATGTCTTCGAGAACCAAAGCTTCTACTTCTGCTTCTTTAATTATGTTGAAGGCTACTCCTTCTCCCTTTCATCTACCCTTCGCCATCATTGTTTTTCCTCCATCTAATACCCCTGTTTGGAGATTGTTCTTCTTCTGCTTATATATCCTTGCTAAACCGTAGACCTGGCAATCCGGTCGGGTTGGGGCATCGGGTTATGGGTCGGGCCAGGTTGGGTTGACTGATTTAAGGTCAAATATTGACCCAGCCCATTCGATTGCGGGTTGGGTTACAGATCATTTCGGATTATGATCGCTCTCAAAAACAATATCAAACATACTTCATATTTTCTTAATGGACACAAATTTTCACATATGCATGCCAGTAGTTTACCTAACACGTGTCAATTAACATATTCACAAATCCTTCCATGATAATGAAATGAAATACAAATTGCGCAATCTTCATAAAACAATCACTCCAAAAATGTCTTTCAAATCCTTGTGAATTTTTTTAAACATCTCATCAATTTATGAGATGATTTTATCATTTTGGAAGTGACATATAAAGTGTAACGGGTCTAACAGGTCGACCAGCTAACCACCCAACTCAACCCAAAAATCACAGGTTAATTGAGTTCGGGTCATTTGGGTTTCAGGTCATAAAAACTTCTATTTTTCGGAAGGGTTCGGATCGGCTCAAAGGGTTTATTTGTAATTTTCCAGTAGGGGTGTGCAACGGTTCGGTTCGGTCCAGACCGGACCAAACTCATGAGAACCGCGGTCCATTAGTGAAAGACATGTTAGGACCATGGACCGGACCATTCTTGCATTTGGTCCGGTTCGGTCCGGTCCAAATATGAGCTCGGTCCACCATTTCTTCAGTAATCATAAAATTCATGAGGACCAAGGACCGGACCGCATTTTACTCGATCTGGTCCGGTCTTAACAACGGTTTGGTCCGGTATGGTCCGGTACGGACCGGACCATTGCACACCCCTATTTTCCAGTACTACCAAACAGTTAGCAAAGTGATAAGAACTTCCCAATGTGTCCTTGAATGGTGGTTCCCAGCCCCACTCTTCTAATGCACAGAGTAATGGTGTTCTAGACAGTGGGGCTGACATTTACCACAAAAATGCTGTGATTAACAGATCTCTCTCAGCAATTCATAAATTACACTGTTGTTAGAAACTGGAACCAGCAGGGCCTAAGAAAATAACACTCTTTTTGTGGGCTGTGAATGACAATTTGTTCTCTCCCGTTAATGCTCTGGTCCAGAGGGTTGCAAAGTGTTTAGTTGTTTGTGGTGCTTTCAATGCCAGAGGATTTTGACCAGGGAGCATCGGGTTTTCCATTTTCAGAATCAACAACAGGGAAGCGTGCCGGTCAGGGGAACCCACAGATGTACCCAATAAGTAAATTGCGTAGAGCACAAGTGTACATAGTAAATAACTGTGCAGGAGTCAAAAATTGATGTCCCAAGTGAAAAACCAAACAGAGTTCTTTATGTACATTACCACATCTGAGGGACCTGACAATTCCAGTCCAGTTATATGATCGCTTGTTTTCTCTTCTTTTATGGTGAAGAGAAAATCTCTGTTTTTTCTTTTTCTTTCATTTTAAGGTACAAACTCGAAAGTAACTGTTGGATCCATTATTGTCCCTGCTGTTCTTCCACACAAGTGATGTAAGAAACTGCAAAATACTCCCAACTTCTGGAAACTTGCAGGGATTATTGTGTACATATATATATCACCAGAACAACACTGACGACACTCAGTATTGTGTAAAATACTATCATCATCGGAACCCATCTTCACGAAGTTCTTATTTGCTTTGGCTTAATAACATCGTCATCAGAACACATCTTCGAGATGCCCTTATTTGTTGCGACGTAATAACCCTCTCCAAACTACTTATTTCGAGTAACCGGCATATCGTGCATTATACGACTGTGTAACAACAAAACTACAAGGCTGAGAATCACTACTGGAAGGCGGAAGCTCTTTTATACTTCACGAGGAATGATGATGACCCTTCATTTTCTGACAAAGGAAACCCCCTTTTGAATGCTTTCTGCTAATTCTTTCTTTGCCTTCTCCAAGCCAGCCCTATCAGTACAATTGCAGATTTTGAATTTGCTGAAGTTGGTAGCCTAGTGGTATGAGAGTGTGCATAAATTTTACTTACCTTTCATACTCGTTAAGGGGGCCAAGTGGGTAAATTTCTTCTACTCCAGCACGGCCAAGCCGTACTTTTGATGCGAAGAAAGGAAGCTCTGTCACCTGTGGATATATAAATAAGAGAAGATCCAAGTTTCAGTAAGTGCATTGACCAACCAATCCTATTCAGTACTGTGATGAGAGAGATCCATGCTAATAAGCTTTTGATAGTAGAGCATACTTGAGAGGATACATAGGCGCACTCCACGACACCAGCATCTCCTCTCAACCCTCTAAGACAAGCATCTGCAAATTTAACGGCAGCATAGGCCTGCGATTTTCATGGAGGGTAGTGAATCATTGTTCATAAGTACAAATTTCCCCCCTGCAAAACAGGTTCAGCTGGAAAATAACATGGATGAAGACTGCAGCAACCTACCATGGATAGTGTTGCAGAACCAGTGCCTGCTTTTGCCTGCCAAAGGTTCCAGTGTGTCAATCCAAGGAGATAAATAATATAAGCAGGAAGAATATCTGAAAAAAGCCCATTACACCAGTTCGCTGATTTAACCCAACTGATTCCATGATTAGTCCGATTTCAGCTTTCGAACCAAACATTGAATTTGAAAGACGCAACAAATTGGTATGAAGTTCCTTCATGGATAAGGTTATATTACATGGGAGGAAGGTGCTTAATCATATCCAACTTAAAAAAAGAACATATAGTATATTCTACACAACAGCCCAAACCGATCGCCTTCTTAGTTTCCCATGAACTTCTCAGTGTCCCTAGGTACTTGAAAGGCAGGGAGTTTATTTATCCCATCTCAATTATCTCAGAAGCATCCCATAATCCATGATCTTCTGAGAGGGAACTAGATTGTGTTCACCCAGAACAGGAAAAGAAGAAAAGGTGTATCTGGAAGCATGATTATGTTTTCCCTAAATCTGTCCAATTATCTCAGAAGCATCCCATAATCCATGATCTTCTGAGAGGGAACTAGATTGTGTTCATCCAGAACAGGAAAAGAAGAAAAGGTGTATCTGGGACTGGAAGCATGATTATGTTTTCCCTAAATCTGTCCAATTATCTCAGAAACATCCCATAATCCATGATCTTCGGAGAGGGAACTAGATTGTGTTCACCCAGAACAGGAAAAAGAAGAAAAGGTGTATCTGGAAGCATGATTATGTTTTCCCTAAATCTGTCCAAAACAACTATGATTATTATTTACCCTTTCTCCTCCCCCAGATGGAAGGGTAGGTTGATGGAGCAAGTGAGAAAAGGGATAATGGGGATAGTTGCCAGCATTGGGATGTTTGGTTCTTTCTCTCATGTAGCCAACTTACCAATGCCTAAAACTAAGACAGCATCCTGTAAGAGCTACAACCTTTGAAAACATCTCCAACAGAAAAATTACCTAAATCTAAATTGGCCAAAAGGTTAACCATAACATTATCCAGACAACCAACTAAAACGAGTGAAAATTAACAACCAGAATTTTAAAAAAATCGGTGTTCACGAGACTTATTCAGCTTGTCATTTTAAACCTCATGATGGAACAATTGAGCCTTGAATGAACTGATAAGCATTGAAACAACAAGAAAATAGTGAAAATCAATTCTCACCTCAACAACTTCAGTACCACCATTTTGAATGCGATCAGTCAAGTAATCGATTTCTTTCTGGGTGAAAGAGCATGGAGGTTTAACCTGTAGAGACCAGTATAATGAGTACTTCAGAAAAGTTAAAAAAAATAGTATGACCCTCGAAAATTTAGGTAATCTGGAATTGGCTTGAACCTGTGATAAGAGAGGTAAAATAGTAACTCCGGCATGACCCCCAACAACTGGACAATCGACTTCCCTTGGATCAAGACCCATAACCTCACCCTGCACCCAACGATTCATAGGGGAGAAGAATGCATACATGAAATAATGGATTGAAACCAAATAACAGTTAATCATCCTAGTATTAGACAAAAAGTGCATATTGAGACGGATCGCTGCATGCAGTTAGGTATACGAGTTACTTCCCCAAATATAATATGATACTATTGTATAACCAATCAAAAGCATTGAATCAAAAATTCAGCAAAACATTGTAGTGTTTCACCCTCAATATCCATCATACATTACAAAGAGAAGACTACCAAGAATATGAGTTTAGAACACCCTGTCGGCAATTAAAAAAAAAACAAAATCATACGTTACAGCAACTAGCTTACCCTAGATTATTGTCCTGCACGGATCTTAATCTTACTTCTGCAAATTTTTTAAGGGATGGCCAGAAATAAAAGCAGACAAAGAACTTGGTTTAACAACAGAGACTTTATACTTTTTTCTTACCACAAAGGTATTAGCTCTGACAACATCAAGCATTGTGACTCCCAAAACCCGCCTTGGATCATACGTTCCAGCTTTCTTGAAAACTTCAGCTGCAATTGGTACCGTTGAGTTTACAGGATTACTAATTATATTGACGATGGCCTGAGGAGAGCACTTAGCAATTGCTTCACAGAGTGTCTTAACAATTCCAGCATTGATGTTGAATAGATCATCCCTCGTCATTCCTGGTTTTCTAGGGACACCAGCAGGTATGATCACAACATCAACTCCCGTGACAGCATCTTCCAATTGCTGCTGCCCTAAGAACCCACGTACCTTGAGGAGCAAGAAAACGAAAGGAACACCATAAAAAAATGTTGCAGTTCCAGTGAAAAATATAACAAATAGCAGCCAATATATCGGTTTAACAAGACATAGTTAACTCGGTAATTCAATGCAGCTAGATAGTGACTAAAGTTAGTGTCCTTGTCCATTCCATACCCAATTGAAAGAAACCCTTGGTCCAATATTGACAAAGACAGAATTCGGGGTGAACATTCCATCTCTTCAAATACTCGATCTCAGATTAGAGAAATACAAAGGAGAAAGCAATCAACAGATTGAGGGCGCCACTCTATTAAACCATTACCAGCACGTTTCTGTCGTCATAACTCAAAACCCAAAATCACAATCATTAACTAGTTAGAGAATTATGGAGTTGCATTTGCACTTTGCAAGCCTTCCCATTTCCAGTTTCCAACTTTCAACTAAGCAAAACAAAAACAAAAAAAATGGCAAATCTAACCTATCGATTCCGCAACAAAGAAAAAAAAAGATCATCGCATTTGTCTTACCACTGCACCAGTATCCATGTGACTAATATCAGCAGTGACGCCATGGGTATTGACGACATCATACAAATGAAGGACAGAGACCAACGGGTTCATCTTCATCAACATCGCCAGCGGCTGCCCAATCCCACCTGCCGCTCCCAGTATCGCCACCTTGAACCCGGAAGACCCGCCTTTCGCCCTGCAATTCCACCGGGCTGGGCCCGAACTCTCTCCCATCTGCGCGTGTTCGAAAGAGAAGATTATTGAAAAGGAAACTCATCATTCGAGACGGGAAAACCCCCCAGATAGAAAGCACAGTTTCCCCCCCCCCCCCCCCCCCCTTCTGGAATGTGGAAATGAACCTGGGTATTGGGAGGGTTGAGGTGGGCAGCGATCCTGGCAATGCGCTGATTAGGCTCTGAAGAACACGAAGTCGGCTGCATCTCTTCCGACGAAGATTGAAACAGAATGAAGAGCTCTGATAGAGAGGATGGGCGAGGTGGCGATTCTTGTGAATAAGGGAAGACTATTGATCTATTATTATAGTTATGGCCAGAATCGGGATGCGCGCGAACTGGGAAACCGATCTTATCCGATCACCGCTGCTGCCTGCTGCTGCTTCAGAAATGCTACAAAATTTCGCTGTTTTTTATATTCAAGCAAGCTGCAGCATCACCTCGAGACTTCCCCTCGTCGTTGGGGATGATGATGAGATGAGAGTAATTAAATTCGGAAAATTTGCTTTGGTTGGGATTTTAGAGGCGAACAAGAAGAAAAAACGTGATTGTTTTCGGGGAAAGCTGAGGAAAGGAGGATTGGGATTGGGCCAGATAGATAGCCAATTGGTTATGGGCCGGAAGCGAGCGGGCTTTCTTCTATTTTGCCTTTTTCACTATTTGGGTTAAGGATTGGCAAATAGAAAAAAGACAAAGCTTTTTCACTATTTGGGTTAAGGATAAAGGATCTCTCATCCATTGATCCAGATAATACAGGGGAATGGATCAGGTAAGTAACCTTATGGTGAGTAACCATGAGTAACCCGTCCACATCAGCATGACATCAGCATCCTCTCTCTCATAGAAAGCCTTTAATTTTTCCCTCTTTAATCTTTGACGGACGATTTCTCGCTCATTTTAAGTCGAAATTTAAATTTTTTTGCACAGTTAGATCAGATTAATTGTGCTCTTCAAAATGATATCCACTTTAATATATTTTTCGAACAAAAAAAATTGAGCCATTTTTTACCAGCCTATACCATATGGTATTGACTGGTATTGAAATAAAAGCATACCTATGTTTTGAAAAACATACCATGGTGGTATGAACAAACCAATACTGTAGGATGGTTGAATACATGATAGTAGAAGTATATTAATTGTAATTTACGACTTTTAACATTGTATACCACACAATACCACCCCGTACCAGGGTGGTATTGTATGGTATTGTGTGGTATTTTTTGGTCCTGTAATTTGTTCACCCAGAAATTTGTAGATCCAATAGATCATGATGAACTCGTCCCTTCTGTGCAAACGTTTTCAAAAACGAATTAAAAACGAACAAGATACCATACAATACCACCCCGTATCAGGGTGGTATTGTATGGTATTGTGTGGTATTTTTTGGTCCTGTATTTTGTTCACCCAGAAATTTGTAGATCCAGTAGATCATGATGAACTCGTCCCTGCTGTGCAAACGTTTTCAAAAACGAATTAAAAACGAAGAAAATACCATATGGTATGCAGTTGGTACCGAGAGGCCAGAATTTTTTTTCCTCAAAAAATATTGAAAATTGATCTCATTTTGTAGAGCACGGTGAACTCGTTCCATCTATGCAAAAAAAATTAAAATCCGAGTTAAAACGAAAAAGATACGAGTCAATTAAGAAAGCTAGTGAAAATAAAAATAGTCTTTAATTCTCCATCCTTAGATCTGGATTTTCTAAATGAAGGGTCCAGATTTGGTTATTGATGGGTGCATAACCCATGGTTATGCACCCTATCTTGAGCCATAATACAGCTTTAGGCGAAGCAGCTAAGCTTCTCCGATTGCTATATGTTTGTGATTGATGTGTGATTGCCTATTAATGGGCTTTCTTGGGCGCCACTCATTCAAATGTAAAGGGATCGGCGTAGAACTCAACTTCGAGCCTCGTGCGTATAAAATAACTTAGCAACTACTATTAAGAATTTGCTGCGGAATTTATAAGGAAAAAGACTCATAATGGGGAGTCCGATTTGAAAGCGTGCGCCCTGCAGGCCTGCATCCATCCTGGGTATATACATCAATAGGAGAACACCAAGTTTTCGTGATCCGTTGCCGAACTTATTCCAATTTCAAGATCTCATATCGAATTGGTATATACTCAATACCGATTCGATCCGAGATCTTGGCGTATCCTTTTTGGTAGGTTTTTCCTAGAAGAGGGAGTGTCAAGTCATATAAGAAGCAATTATTCTTGTTGAGGGCGCCTCCATCCTTGAGCCGCATGGATAAACACACACTAACTCGTCAATTTGAGATATGAGAGTGAAAATAGGAAAGGTGGCTCGCTACTAACTATATCTATTACAATAGAAATCCAAGTGCAACTTTCAATCAGGTATAGTATGGAACAAGTATTTTTAAATTATCAAACCCGGGCGGCCTATCTACCTATACTTCAGCAACCTAAGCGATATCTAGCGATCGATAAGTTGTTTTAAACTAACAAAAAAAAAACAAACATGCAAGTAAATTGTGATCGATATTGTGATACCCTAACACAATTCATACTTAACGTATACCATAGGAGTCTCTATTAGAGTTTCCTAACCCGTCCAATTGCTCTATTCGGAGAGGCGTACTGAATTACCGACCTAGGAAATTGGGGCAACCAAATCCATTCCTCAATTGGGTAAGAACACATAAACGACGCTATGAGTTTAATCACACATGTTCATAGACCACAAAGCGTGGATTAGGCAATGCTCCAAATTGACCCTAAGAAGGTATTCTCTCACTTAGGTTAATTAATCACAAATAGTGGGGTAGTGGTCAAGACCTCCAATTTTCAAGAATAATGTACAAATCAATATACAATCAATCATGCAAATCAACCCATAGGTTTCACAATCATTCAACTACAACATAATAGACTAGGGCTCTACATCATCCAAGTGACTAGGAGTACTACTTCATGCCTAGAGTGAGAAACACAACCAAATAGAAGGAAACCACCATGGGAATGAGAAGCTCCTCTTTCTTGGTTGCTTGGAATGGTGTTGAAGATGGAATCAAACTTCCTTGAGTGTTGGGTAGCTCAAATCCTTCATGAATCTCCTATTGCTCGTCACTTTCTCTCACTAGGTTGAAGAAGATCTCCAATTCTCTCTCCAAAAGCCAATCTCCCATCAAAATTTGATCTACCTTCTCTTTTATACATAATATTCACTGCCCCCTGTCACAATCGTGATGTGTGCAGTGAAACCGTAATATTGACTGAAAAAAGCATCGTTTCACTTAAACACTTCATGATTTTCTTGTATTCTTCACACCCTGCGCCCGTGATCCATGAAATGCCAGCGAGGATGTCCAAAGCCTCATGGGAACATGTATCAATCACGATTTGGAGGTAATCTTCAAGCGTTAAGCTCTTGAAGATTTACCATGAATGGTGAACCATGACATTTTTAGCCCTTGGTCCCGTTTTGGCTCTTTTTCGTTTGACTTTCGATCATTTTGTCCATTTCACTTGTTAGAGCCTAAACCATACTAAACCATGATAAAAACTAACGTAAAATAACTCCAAGGACGATGCTACACAAGTCAAACGATAAAGTTAAAGGGTATAAACATGTATCAAATGACTCGAATCAAAAGGTACATATATCTTCACAATTATTAATTTATTTCATATGAAGAATATATAAGTATCCGAATTTGAACTACTCTCTTCAAACAAAGGCAAAAACCACAACCAATTATACTAGACAAATTTATTGTATCTTTTTAAAGACAAAACATACATGAAATTAAAATTTAAAAAGCTATGGACTTTAATCACGATTAGCTGACACACTAAGTCGCCTGCATATGTTTTTATGGTGTTTGATGCTTTAATTTTCATATTTTGATTATTTTAATTGAATTTTAATAAGTAATTTAATGATTGATTATTTTTAATTTTTCATAACTTATAAATGAAGGATAATCATAAAATCTCAACCTAAATTTTATTGGTTGGAATATTGCATATCGAATTGCAGTATCAAACATGAATACGAGATGTAAAGTTCTTAAATTAGTATTAGCATTTATAAGTTGGATGGAAAAAATCACATTTTCTTTTTTCATAAGTTTTAAAGTTCAGGTATATATAAGAACACTGATACTATACATTTCAAGAAAAACGTACATGACAAACAGTTATTGATTCGGGCCTAATTACACATATTTTACCCCATTTCTCGATCGTTTGACTTTATAATTCGTCGTCCCTCGGCCTATTTTGTGCTAGGTTGTGCTTGTTATGTTATATTTAAGGTCTTTGTACGTGTGGGAAGGTCGAGGACGAGTTTCGGGACGATTGGAGGTCGAAAAGAGCCAAAAAGTGAAGAAAAGGCCAAAGTCACGTGCTGGGGGTAATTGTCACGGTCTTTAGGCCGTGAAAAATGAGCCAAGGGCGTGACATTTGCGAGGATCATAAGAGTTAGCACGCCTCGCGGGCATAAGTGACCGTGACAATTGTGAAGAGGTTGTGACATTTGAACAAAACGGCTGCGTTTTCGTCTGAGATCACGGTCACGCTTCCGACGTCACAGTCGTGACTGTAGAGTGTGACTTTTGACTGTCGCCTGTATAAAAAGCATCAACAAGGAGAGAGAAACGAGAGTTGATTTTTAGAAAAGAACTTGGTTCTCTCTCTAGTGTTTCGACCCAAAACACCAAAGTGAGTTTTTGAGAGATCTTGGAGCTTAATTGGAGGCTTGAGTTGATTTTGGAGACAAGGATTCAAGCCTAGAAGATGAATGATAGACCATCATTTACACATGTTTTTACCCCCGTTCTTACACCGTTTGAGGTGTTGATTCTCGTGTTTTAGGCCGATTTCACGCTAGGTTGTGCTTGTTTGTGATGTTTCAGGTCCTAGTACGTGAATGAAGGCTTAGGAGCGAGTCTGGGGTTGATTGGACGACGAACGGACGAATGGCGAGCCTTTTGGAGAGTTGCACGGCAGACCAGGGAGGCTGCACGGCCGTGCAATATGCAACTCTGGCCGTGCGCCTTATGCCGAGGAGCTGCACGGGCACCCCTGAAGATCTGCACGGCCGTGCACCTGGCCGTGCAAGATGGTTGAAGGCCGACTAAATGAAACGCTGCGTTTTTGGAGTGCACGGCCAGAATGGTGATGTGCACGGCCGTGCACCCTGGCCGTGCAAGTCGGGAAACCCTGTTTTAGAGCCTATTCCGAGCCAGAAGTGAGAGAATCGTGTTTTGAGAGCAAAAATAGAGCCCTAGAGAGAGAAAGTGCGAAGAACACATCCTAGAAGCTGTCCTAGAGCTGGATTTCATCGAATCGAGCTTGGAGATCGTCATAGGAGTGGAAATCATCGTCCCGGAGCAGATTATCCTCATCGTTATGAGTATGACTAATCCGATTCTTGTTTTCTCTTCTCTCTCTATGGAGTAGAACCCTTCTCTCACTTGGGTATGAAGAACCCTAGTTCCTGGTGTTAGGGATTTGATTGTAATGACTTGGGATGATATTACTGTTTGATTTTAATCGAATGACGCATGTTTAATGAATTGATTTG